TATATTTTGGATATCATCCCCCTTATCAGATATATTGTTTGCAAGTGTCTTCTCCCATTCTGTAGGTGACCTTTTCATTTTGTTGATGGTTTTCCTCACTGTGCAAAGAGTTTGATACAGTCCCACTTGTTTATTTTTGCTTTTGTTTCCCTATGCCTGAGACATATCTCCCCCTAAAATTACTAAAGCTGTTGTCAAAGAGCTTATGTTTTCTTCGAGAAGTTTTGTGGTTTCAGGTCTTACACATATGTCTTTAATCCATTTTGAATTTATTTTTGTGTATGGTGTGAGTGAGTAGTTCAGTTTGATTGTTTTGCATGTTGCTGTCTAGTTTTCCCAGCACCATTCATTGAAGAGGCTGTCGTTTCCCCATTGTATGTTCTTGCCTCCATTATTTTTTTTTTCAGGCCTGGGGAGAGGGGCATAATTAGGTTTATTTACTTGTTTGTATGTTTTAACGGAGGTATTGAACCCAAGACTTCGTGCATGCTAAGTAATCATGCTCTGCCACTGTCCTATATACCCTACCCCCTTTGCCTCCATGATTAGAATGAAGCTTCTAATGGTCATGAATTCTGTCTCTCATTTTGCACATATCCCTTGCACCTAGAAAAATGACTGACACATAATCAGTCCTCAGTCTGTATTTGACTATGAGAGTCTCTCAGAATTTTATCATCTGAGCTACCATATTTCTTTTTACCGTACTCTTTTACTAGATTTCACTGATATTTTCCTATGTATATTTTCCATTGTGACAGAGGTAATTGCAGATTACTTGGTTGTTAGATCAGCAGTTTGACTGTCAGGTGACATTGTCTATTCTGTATTAGTATACTAACTTTAGCATGAAGAATTGTCTATATACCAAAACATGTATTTTTTCCACTTTTATATTTCTGCTTTAAGTTGAAATTTGTTATTATGAAAGATACACTCCATTCAGAATTTTTGATTAACCTCAGTACTATACCATTTTATTTGAGGGTTTTACTCTTTCTAAAAGCAACCAACTGTATGGTGACTGTTGGGAGGATGCACACTGGCATTGTTTAATATTTGCCACCTTATCTAATAGTCCTGGTTAATTTAAAGGTATCCTCTTTTTTGACTGCAGAAGAAATCATAGAGATTAGAAGATTGTTTGAATGTTTCTCATCCTAGGTCATTGATCAGTTAATATTTTTGGTATAGATATAAAAAATAGATTCTAAGTATCTGGGTTTCATTTAATACTCCTGAAGAATGTTTCTCTCTATACTTGGTTTTCTTTTCTTTTCTTTTTTTTCCTTTTTTTTCATATTTGGTTTTCTTTTAAATAATTTTTATACCTTGTTCCCTCTCAGGGCTGAGTATTTTCAGAAAATTGTATCAGCATGGTACATGGACATAGTGTTTTACCCAGCATTAAAATAGGTATATATATATATATATATCTCCAGTTCTCACACTGTTCTCCTTTCTTGTGTGATCTATACAGATGTATAGTCCATTGCAATCTAGACCTCAGTCTACTCTTTTTACTACTCTTATTGTGTATCATTAGATTGTCAGAGTGGTTTTACAGATACTTTCTATAAAGAACTCTGTTTTTTTCCACCATAGGTTACAAAAGAGAGAGCTGACAATACCACTATTTTCAATGAACTTATCTTGCAGGAAAGATAAGCAAAAATAAGCATTTATGAAGCAACATAAAATGAGTGGTAACTGATCAAGGGTTGCACAAATATATTAGAAGAAAGAATGGAAAGTAATAGTAGATAATACTATTTCATGTTAATTTTATTGTCTTTGTTGTTTCCAAATTTTTTTATAGTAAAACTGCGTTACTTTGGGATTTGGAACAAAAAGAGTTAAGTGTTGTATGTAGCACACAATGAGTACACAAAGTATACAAAATAGAGAAGATAAGGAATCAGAGTTGGATGACATTAGTCATGGGTAGCTTTCTAGAAAGAGCGTACACTTCTTTATGTGCATTAGTCAATCCCAGTTTGAGCCAGACAGTTGTTTCCAGTGCTGCCTCGTTTCTTGTATCCAGTTACTCATATGGGTGCTACGTCGTGATCTGCAGGAGGTTACCAGATCTGCCGTGCTGAAAATATCTCAGAAATAGAGGAATGTTATTTGTCCTTTTGCAGGTTGCTTCATGTGCGAAATGGAAACTGCAAATATCATTTGGGTGAAGAAACATTTAAGTTAGCTCAGACGTATATGGATAAACTCTCAAAACACGGCCAGCAAGCAAATAAAGCTGCACTCTATGGAGAACTGTGTGCACTCCTATTTGCAAAAAGTCACTATGATGAAGTGAGTATTTTGAAGTACATTTCGTTGTGACCAGTAAGTATATATAAAATGGAAGATAAATCATGTAATCTCCTATTTGCCTTAATAGATCTCATTCTCACATACTAGGTTTACTTAAAGCGGTACACATTTGTAATGGAATATTTAAAATCAGGCAAAAGGAGTATTCTATGAGATGGATTTTAAACATAACATATATGATTTAGGGCCTGTTTTTATTTTTAATTTGACCAAATATATCTCTACCTAAATTATTTTGAGGGCATGCTCTGTTAAATGAACCTTTACTAGATGCTTTTTTAATGGATGTGTAGCTCTTTGAGTGAACTCTCATAGCTTGAAGGCATTCATTTCAATGGGAACCTAATTTTATTTATAATTTATTACATTGTTTTGCTTCTGTCTCTGCATTATGAGAAAGATAGCCTTACTCCTGGCTTTATACTATTAAATTAAGGCCTTGGTGCTAATGAATACGTAGTTGAGAAGTGATCTGTGTATGCTTAACTACTTTACAAGGTTACTTTTGGAAGAATATCATAATTATTTTTTATTGTCAGATAGCTGCCATTTGGCTTTCATATTTTAAAATTATCCCATCTCAATTTTTGCCCCATAATATAAATAAATGTGTGTTCCATATATAAAGGAAAATGACCATTAGAAGTGAAACTGGAAAACTCTAGAATAATTGTAAAGTGATATTGTGCAACCCCAGTGCTAGGGTCAACCTGCTTTTAATGCTATCTGAGAAGGCATCATCAAAAAATATGGTTGTTGAATTGTATGGTGAGAGTATGTTTAGCTTTTTAAGAAACTACCAAACTGTCTGTACCAATATGCATTCCCACCAGCAATGAATGACGGCTGGAATGGTAGAGGTGGACGCTTGCAGAAGAAAACACAATGTTTATTTTCTAATATTTTCTATTCTGTTTTCCTCACATTTTTTGTGATTCTTTCATAATATTGTTTTGTTTCTTTGAAGAAGTACTTACTATCCAAAGTAATTTGCTTTCTTTTTTTTTGCATTCCCCCACTGAGCTCTGGGAGAGGAAGGACATTTTATGTTTTGTTCCCCACTAGATCCTTAGAGGCTAGTACATTGTCCGGTTCTTAACCTCTCCGTGCCTCATTTTGCTATGATAATAGTACATATCTCAAAATGATGTTGTATCAGTTAAATGCATTAGTGCACTCAAATGCTTAAACTAATACCTAGCACAAAATAAGCACTCAACTAAACAAGCAATTAAGATATAAAATAATAAGTGTTACAGTGGAATAAGGAAAGCATAGGAAACCTAGTCTAGGTCTAAAACCTGAAAGACAAGTTAGGTGGTTTAAGGGACTGAAGAAGGAAGGGAATGTATTGTAAGGCAGAGGGCACAATATGTGCAGAGGCTTCTGGACGAGAGAGAACATGCCTCTGATTTCCTGAATACGTCATATATCCAAAGAAAAATGTAACCAATTAAACTTTCAGGAAAACTTAGTCTTTGAGAGAAAATTTTAAGTGTTAATATCTTGTGTGTTCTTATTCAAGTACTTGAAAGCTTTCGGAAAAAATTCACAATCATTTCATTAAATATTGTCAATTTGATTTTTACTCTTCTGTAAATATTTTTTAGGCATATAAATGGTGCATTGAGGCAATGAAAGAAATCACAGCAGGCCTACCAGTCAAAGTTGTGGTGGATGTTTTAAGACAAGCTTCTAAGGTGAATATAATGTTAAAATTATAAATGAATTGTATGATTTAGTAAGCTTTAAATTTGTTTTAATTAGCCTACTACTTAAATTAGATATTGCATACTTATGGGTAACAAAATCTATGTTCTAAGTTTCTCAGCTCATTTTTAGAAATCTGGCTTTTCTTCAACTTTTAAGAAGCAACCTGAATTCCTTATGCCATGTTTGTGTGGGTTTGTCACTTTTCTACTAAAGGGTAGCCTAGTATTAAATCTTTTAGTCACAGTATTGCAATCTCACAATGTGATAGCTTCCTTTTCTTGACCTGTTGGGCAGTACTTACTTGATTTTTTTTCCTCTAGTTTCTTCTTATTCTGTAAATAAATCTATTAACTCTTTGAGGCCACTTAATAGTATTTAAAAATTGCTGCTTTGGTACCCTGAGGCTTTAAAGCATTGAGATGTGCTTTTCAAGTAAGTCATTTTAGAGCAAGTAAATAGCATATGTATTCAGGTTATCATCAGATCTAGAAGAGATATTAATATGTTTTTAATTGATTTAAACCAGTGATTATACACTTAATATAAAGACAGTTTAATATATGTACAAGATTTATATTTCTATATGAAAAGGATAGAGTTTAAAGACTACTGGCTTTCTCCTGAATCAAAGTATTTTAAGAAGTAATAGTAAAACTTGAAATTCTGTGCATTTAAAAATTATTAGATGGAAAACTACAAAACAGTTATAAGCCACTCTAGACCTGGGATATTAATAAATACCTTACAAAATAATATGATGACCCCCTCTCCAACTGATTTATTTTAATAATATGGAAGGTGGGGGCATACCAGCTTTGTAAGATAACTGTGTTTGTCTTTTTTTTTCATGGAGGTACCAGGAATTGTACCCAGGACATTGTGCATGCCAAGCATGCACTCTACCACCACGCTGTACTCTCCCCCCAAGATAACTTTGTTATTGACAGGTTTTTTCTTGGGCATGACTGTCAAATTTTAAGTTTTATAATTTCCCAGAATATGTACAGATATGTTTATAATGAAATTTT